CCAAATATCACCCTGTGTGCGACAAAACAGCCAAATATCACCCTGTGTGCGACAAAACAGCCAAATATCACCCTGTGTGCGACAAAACAGCCAAATATCACCCTGTATACGTGAGAACAGCTAATTATAATTATCACTCTTTACATAATTATGAAAGAAAACATAATATTACTCATTATACATGCGAATAGCTTAGATATATCGCCTCGTGTACGTGTTGGTGTGTATGAATTACAATGCCTTCTAGGTCATTCACCGTTCATATAGCAATAATTACGGGTGTGAATGGTAGGCAGCAGGCACAGGTGGTGTGTTGGAATACGGAGGCGGACTTCGCACGTACGCGTGTGCAATAACAACGGCTAGATTGTGCACCCGGCAGTTAGATGCGATATGATATGACTACTAGGCACTTAGGATATGACTAGAGCACGTCGTGACGTCAGCACGGGATTGCTTATTACCTGGCCTTCTCCACATCTGTTACGCAGTTTCTCGTCAGCTGCCGCACGAGCTCCGTAAACGTTGATTGGTCCTCGCTGGCAACCTGTAAGGAACGGTGTCAAAGCGTGCGTGACGTCACAAGGGTGTCACGAATCCCTTCTCCCTGATCATACAAAAATCAGCCCACCTCCGCAAGATTTTTCTTCTTGCTCAATTATCTTTGTTCTCTTATATTGATTATATTATCTTTATATTGTTCTCTTACACTATTTAATTCGCCTTCATTCCTTCTCTGTCGACCTCATATGCCATCCTTCTTCACTCCTCTATTCCTTCCAGTTTCCCGTATTTTCACTTTCTTATTCCTCACGCAATACCACTTATTCCATTGTTGTCACCTCCGTATTACTTTCCCACTTACTTCGATCGCTTCTCTGTCTATGACGTCGAATACGGAGGGGTCATCATAGAGGTCGACCTTCCGGTTGACCGGTGGCGATGGCGGCGGCGGCGCTGACGACACCGTCACGTCACGGGTCTGCGACATCGGTCTGCCTTTCGTCTGCAGAGATTATACGATAAGTTTAGATAACGTTTATACACGCTATAATCATTTATAATGTGGGTATATATTATTCATATGTTAAAATGTAATTACATGCCATGATTGATATAGTAACAAATGCGTGTAATAATTATACGAAAAAAGCCCAATGTCATTATATGGAAATCGACCACGAATAGATGGACGATTTTCACCATTTCTACGCGCGCACGTACACGAGAGCCATTAATGAACGAGCGTCGATATCTACGAGATGATCCTTCTATTACCTGCAGCAGGTTGGAGTAGCGGGAATCCTTCACAGTGAGGTGCTTCATCCCGTGGAGTTCTCTAGCTTGCTGCTCCAGCTCCGCCCGCCTCTCACTGATCATCGCTAGCATTTCTTCCGAGTGTTTCTCTATAATCTCAGTCGTCTGCAACGAAACAACGCGCCCGCCAAAATCTCAACGTCTAATCCGTTATTTCAGTTATATTTTCTATATCCCTAGTTCTCCCCTTCCTGTGCTGTACATAGCGGGGTTGGGGTAGTGGGGCAGTAGCCACACAGGCGAATATAGAGACAACCACATGGTCAATGACAAATGACGAACTGCTTGCAGTCAACTGCCTCTGTCTCTCGCTCTCGCCCTCTCTCTCTCTCTCTCTCTCTCTCTCTCTCTCTCTCTCTCTCTCTCTCATCTCCTTCTTTCTTTCTCTCGTGTCTATCTCTATCTCTTTATCGCTCCCACTCACTCCTCTCGCCCCGCTTCTGCGCGTGGGACCGCCCTCCCTTCTGCCCCCCCCTGGCCGTTGATATCGGCGCCCTGTCTCTTGCTTTCTTCCCAGGGTCCCGTGACGCTCTTCCTACCTGCTGTGCGCCGCTTCCTCAGTAGATGCCGCAGCATTGCTCCGTCGCTGCGGTCCGTACTGTAGTTGGCATTACTGTTCCAAGATCTTCCTTGTCGCGCCGCAGTGTCGCGCGCGCCTTCTGTGTCTGTTCCGCGTCGCGCCCTCTGCCTGGATGTTAGCCTCATATCTTCCTGCGATCGGGTGACGAAACAGTACTGTACGCTATCCACGCGCAAGTTTACTAGCTACTGGCTACTACAGAGTCGATCCTAGGGCGAATCTTCCCATATTATTCTACTCTTGCTTATCTTTACGGTCGCTCCTCGGACTATCACTTCCGAGGATGCCGGAACAGGGTTGGCACAAAGCGCTGTCGTTTTCAATGGTTTCACCGGTTCATTTAGTCGCCTTCACTGTATATATGAGCGCGGGAGGTGTGGGGGGGGGTGGTCCCATGGTTTACAAGGCCTGTAGTGGCCCACTAGTCATAAGGGCGGATGGGCTGGTCATACGACGGTTCCATGGTTTATAAATGCGCAGGGATTGGTCGTATAATATAGCTATATATAATAGTTTATTTTAATATTATTTATTTATAAATAAAAATTAAATGAACATTTTATTTAAATTATTTATTATTATTATTATTATTTTTTGCATTATTATTATTTTTACATTAAAACTTTATAATTTTATAAATATTATTTAATCTAATAATATGAATACTTGGTGCGTAAATATAACGATGCTGTGGTTATTATATGATGGAGGGGGGTCATTCCATAGTTGATAAGGGCGGATGGGTTTGTCGTACGGTGGTTATATAGGGTGGCGGTCATGTTTCTTGCTGACCTGATGAGCTTCTGCCGCTCTGAGTGCCATTCTGCGTCCACCTGTTTGCGGATCTCAGAGCTCTGCGCCTCTCTCTCGCCTCCGCGACACGCTGGAACGCTTTCTCCTCGTCCTTCCGCTGCTGCATCTCCAGCGACACCTGTGTGTCGGCATCCTACGTGCGCGCAGACGAAAATGTTAAGCGTTATCAGGTAGTCCAACTATGGGGTGTTAAGTGTTACAGTGTTACGTGTTACAGTGTTCGTTGTCAGCTGTTACAGCGTTCCAGGGGTTGCATGCTGCAAGTTGCAGCTGTTTACCGTGTTACCGTGTTACAGTTTCCAGTGTTTACAGTTTACGTGTTTACATGTTACATGTGTTTCAGTGCTTACAGTGTGACAGTGTGCTTACGTGTTTACCGTTGTTACAGTGTTCCGTGTTACGGTGTTTACAGTGTTACAGGGTTGCATGCTTGCATGTTGCAGGGTTGCATGTTTGCAATGTTGCAATGTTGCAGGTGTTACAGTGTCATACAGTGTTTCATGGGTCTGCACTGTTGCAATGTATGCCAGTGCTACGTGTTTTACGTGTTTACAGTGTTACAGTGCTACAGCGTTACAGCGCTTACAGTGTTACAGTGTTACAGTTTCAGTGCTCAGCGTTACGTGCTACAGTGTTCAGCGTTACTGTGTTCAGTGTTCAGTGTTACAGTGTTACAGTGTTACAGCGCTTACAGTGTTTACAGTGTTTACAGTGTTCGTGTGACCAGCTGTTACGTGTTCAGATGTTCAGTGCTACAGCGTTCCCGCGTTACATGTGTTGTACAGTGTTACAGCGTTTCAGTGCCTACAGCGTTACGCGTGTTTAACGTTGTTATAGTGTTCAGTGCGTACAGGCGTTACAGTGTTACGTGCTTACAGTGTTACTAGTCTCCCAGTGTGGGGTACAGTGTTACAGTGTTCAGTGTTTACAGTGTTACAGTGTTACAGTGCTACAGTCGTATGGCGATACTATGTGACTGCATACCTATGTCTTATAGAAGCATATCACTGCCTACCGTTAACATAAATACACGCAATAACACGACGCTCACGCACACGAGCACCCACACTACACAACCACCACACCACACCACTACGCGCACGCACACACACACCCCACACCACACACACACACGCGCGCTGCGCGCATGCGCACCGCCACACACACACGTACGCCACGCGACCTGCGCATGACACTCAGCTGTACCACGCCGCCGCACGCACGCACGCATGGCGGCACACGCCCGGGCACGGATGTGCGCTACCACTCACACGCGGGCGAGTGGCGTCTCATGCACCGTACGACATGCTTCCGGCGCTGTGCCAGCGCCGTCTGCTGCCGAGGCATGGGCTGATAGGATGGCCGCCCTGTCGATGTCCGTAGCGCCGGCGTCCGTCTGCTTCTCGTAGCGCGACTTGGGCGCCGACAGCGCGGCGCGGATCGCTATCGCGTCGGCGTCGAAGTACGAACGCTCGGCGTACGTCTGGCGCGCGCCGCCCGCTTTCGGCGCGTCGAGCGCGGTTCGAATCCCGATGGCATTGCTGTCGTAGTGTCCGGCGAGGCTACGCGGCACGTGGTTGTTACAGTAGACGGACTTGTCTTCGCGTCGAGCTGGTGCTGGATGAACGTGCCGAGGTTTGAGAGAGGTGCCGCAGACTGCACACCTGAGGCACTGCGTGTGGAAGAGCATCCCCTCAGAGGCCCGATGCGTTCGACCGGGTAGACTTTGCCGCGCAGCGCGCGCAGTAGTCGTACGCCGGCACCGGGAGCTCGCTGCATCGTCGTCTGCCGCTGCTGCTGTCGCCGCCGCTGATGATGATGATAGTGATGATGATGTCGGTGCTGGTGATGCTCCTCTTGTTACTGTTGCTGCTGGTGTTGCTGCTGCTGTTGTTGTTGTTGCTCCTGTTGCTGCTGGTGTTGCTGCTGCTGTTGTTGTTGTTGCTCCTGTTGCTACTGCTGTTGTTGTTGTTGCTCCTGTTGCTGCTTGTGTTGCTGCTGCTATGGCTGCTGTTGCCGCTGCGGATGTTGTTGTCGCTGCTGATTCTTTTGATGTTTTTGTTTTTTTAGTTGATGCTGGTCCCGTTTCTCTTTATGCTGTTGCTGTTGTGTTGACGCTGCTGCTGTTTCTTCTACTGTTGCTGCGGCTGCAACTATTTTACGGTGTCTGTCTTTCACTTATCTTTCACTCGCTTTCACTTGTTCTCAGTTATTTCACTTATCCTCAAATATGGCCGTCACAACGTACATACACCCACATGTTCGCGAATGTTCACATATACGCATGTTTAGACACAATAATACGCGCGTACATACATAATATGGGCGCACCTCACGTATTAGACTATCCAACGTGAGGTACTTACATATTGACGTATCTCACACTTGTTCGTCTAGCTATCTCTGGTCGCTGCGGGTCCGTCGTTTCGCTCGCGGGTCCAAGGTCCGCACGGCCGGGGATTGGCAGGTACACGCCTATACACGGTGCATGTGTTTGTACGTTTATATACACGGATGTTACTTACGTTTAGATACGAGGATGTTCTTACGTTTAGATACGGTAATGTTCGTACGTTTAGATACGATAATGTTCTTACGTTTAGATATACGGTTATGTGCTTACGTTTAGATACGGGGATGTTCTTACGTTTAGATACGGGGATGTTCTTACGTTTAGATACGATAATGTTCTTACGTTTAGATATACGGGAATGTTCTTACGTTTAGATACGATAATGTTCTTGCATTTAGATACGGTAATGTTCTTACGTTTAGATACGGTAATGTTCTTACGTTTAGATACGGGGATGTTCTTGCGTTTAGATACGGTAATGTTCTTACGTTTAGATACGGGAATGTTCTTACGTTTAGATACGCGAATGTTCTTACGTTTATAATTAAGCCGACAACAAGCAGTGCTTGCCTCTATCCGCTCATTCTCGTCTTATCCGGAATGTCATAATATAGACACTCCTGGCCTTATCTTCGCACGAGTTACAAAAAATCTGCGATGTCAACGCCTGTGTGTGATTCAGCCAGCACAGTTTTCTTATCGCTGCATGCCACGAGCTACGTAAACAGAGGCGCGCACACAAACTCACAGACCCGAACACAATGATTATCGCGGCACTATAACCACAAGTCACACATCACACTTCCTGATCACCAGCGTCTCTCAGTGCGGTATTTAGATAGCATCATGCCTCATCCCCGACGTGCTATAAAATACGCACACCGCAGATGCAGTTATCACGCGCCTGTCACGTCCATGTCACGAGCTTCACGTACACGAGCGCCCACGCGCACGCACTCGATCAGAGTAGAAGCGGCAGCGACTGCGTATTACGGCTGCATGCAGAGCATCGAGGTAGCAGCGTTATATCGTCTGCCCGTCCGTGCTCCGTGTGGCGTATCATATGCGGTATGCTAGCCTCCGTGGCTTGTCAGCCGTTATATGCCGCTACACACATGAATAGCTTCGGAGTCGCGTTATATCGACTGCCCGTCCGTGCTCCCTATGGCGTATGCTAGCCTCCGCGGCTCGTCAGCCGTTATTTGCCGCTACACAGACAGAGAGCTTCATAATATAGCGTTATCGTCTGCCCGTTCACCAGCCGTACGGAGTACGGAGCTGGAAGCGAGTCGGCGTACGAGCGATGCACGTATGTAGCCCCTGGATGTCAATTCCGCCTTCTAGTGTAAACGAGGTCGTCGCGTGCCTCTTGGCAAAGCTGAGGTGGCGAAACGAGTTTCTCTCTCCTGCGCCGATGCTGGCGGCGGCTAACGTAACATAACATGTCGACGCTCGGTGTGAATAGGCGCGGGCGGCAGCGACCGTTGGCAGTTCGTCTGTCAATTACCTCCGCTGGCAGCCGATCGTTACGGCTGCGGCAGGTGTGGTTAGCGATAGGTGTGCGCACGCAGACGCCCCGTCATCGCCGCACAGCAGTGTGTCATCATTGCGCAGGCGTTGACACCGTAGAAATCATATAGAAGTTAGACTAATATACCATACGTATAAATATACTAATTCATATACTAGTGTCTCGTTATGGTTGACACTGACTCCGCCGTCTCGCCCCGCCCTCTACCGGCGGGCGATGACACCAACCGCGCGATCGATGACATGGGACACGGCGTGCGGTTTGCGAAGATGTGTATATTTAGTACGGAGATGATCAGCCACACAATC